GAAATAGTGTATTTCAGAAATTGAAAATATAACCACTTCAACTAATGGATAAAATGATTCCTAGAATGAGATAATAGTTCAACTACTATGTCAATTTGATCATTGTATCAATAGAGAATAATTTCTGTGACAGCCAGAGGAAGTTATTTTAATATATCCTCAGTTTTCAGTATGTAAACATGAGCAGTCCCTACATATGCAAAAATGTCCCTGAGGAGTTAAAGTACTTTTTTTTCTTTCTTTTTCTTTCTGTTAGCCATTTTGTGATGGCCCTGATGGGAACAGAAGGCTGAAAGTTGTCCAAAGTGTCAAGATTGCTAGTCTCCAAGGATCACATCAGTCCAGCATTTCAGAGCTCTGTTGAACATAAATGATCACGTATTTTCCAGGCAGTCAGTACTCTGCACTGTTAGCAAGCTTTTTTTGTGATCTAGAATGTGCAGTTGACAGAGGAGGATACTGAAGAGAATTAAACAGAGCTTTTCTTCTTTGCAGGCTGATTAACATATGTAATATGGGTTATGTACAATAGTTTCATAATGCCAGTCAATAGCAGGGGTTGATACTGGTCCAGTATTGTTCAACATGTTCATTTATGATCTGTATGATGGGACAGAATGCACCCTCAACAAGTTTGCAGATGTTACAAAACTGTGATGAGTGTTTGATACAGCAGATGGGTGTTCCCATTCAGAGAGACCTTGACAGACTGGAGAAATGGGTCAACAAGAACCTCCTGAAGTTCAGTAATAAACTGAACCAAGACAACGTAACTGATATAGCATGATTTCCCTTTTCAAATCTTTAGTATTATCTATCGTGATGCAGAAAAAGTTGACTTTTCTAATATCCTGACAAGGTTTTGAAATTTAACGCAGCTATGCATAGAAATATGACTTTGGTATTTTAATGGTTTGTTTCACCTGTAAAATTTGTACCTTTCTGACTGCTTGATTTTTCAGAGAATCATTTGGTTTGGGTAAATGAAACATCAAACTAACTATTGTAACTGCACTGTTACTTCTAATTACACATTCAAGGAGTTTGCTATTTTAGAAATTATAAGATTTTCACTTACCCCTTAATTTATTTTAGGTTTTGTGGTCTTTGGAATTGGGCCATTGGATCTCAGAGGAACCATATGAGCTTTCATCCAGCTTCCCTGCAGCTCCTGTAAGTTTAATGGCCCTTTAAGCTTGTGAACGTTCTTTTGTTTATCTGGAAAATGACTGGCCTTCTAAATAGCTTTTGTGAACAAGAAGGCCTGCTAGGAAAAACATTTTTTAAATCACATCCTTCAAGGAGTTGTTTTCTCCTTTGTCCACTACTTTTTGAAGTGTGTGCAAAAACTTTGGTATACATGGAAAATGCAAAAATTTGATTCACCAACTAACATCTAAATAAAATTGCTTCATATTTAAGTATAAATGTCCTTTAAATTTTTTCTGGCATATTTAATTTCTATCTGTGCCTGCATATAAACTGGAGAGGCATGTTGTCACCTAACGGAAATATGTGTCAGGTCATAGAGTCAGTATTTTCAGTCCAGAAATGACCGTGGCAATGGAAAATTACTGTGGGTTTTTACAACTAAGTAGGTAAAATGAAGCATTTTTCCTGCTTTTAATTATCATTTTCAAGTACTGAATTGTGAAGTAGTGCAAAAAGGTGTCTGTGGAGGCATGTGTCTGTGCAGATCTAAGTGTGTCTGTACTCCATGGGTTGTAATTGCTTAAACAATAATCTTATTTTGGTTTTAAAACAACTAGAATTCTAGCAGGTTACTGGTCAATCACTCTAATACTTTCGCCAAAAAGGTTTCACAATTTTTCTTCTATTGTAGCAGTTAGATAAATATATTCTTATCAGCTACTTGTTTCTCACAGTTTCACACAGACTTTGAAAAGAACATTTAATGGGTGTTTGAACTTCATTTTTGCTGTAATTTTATTAAGTGTTAAGAACTTATTTTTAACATTCTTTCTAAATCTATAATTTATGTAAATTTACCTGTTCAAGATGAAGACTTTGCTTCATTCTTATAAACTGTATGTTCTCAAAGTATACGGAAACTGTAGCAGTTATTCTGAAATAAGCCCAAAGAAATTAATCATCCATTATAATGTGGTATTTTTTCTATAAGGATGAAGTAGGAGGTTTTTTCATATAGCAAATACATTAAGAATGGCGAAATTTAATGTGAAAAATAAGTAAGAAGAATGTTCTTTTTTTTCCCTTTTCTGTATTTGTAAAGAATACACTGCTTCAGATTAAGCTATTTTGGGATTTCTGGTTTTTCTCAGACTACCTTGGTTATTAAACAAGTACGTTATCAGTAACAACTTACATAGCATTCCTTGGAAGTGTTTTGCTGGGGTTGTTTTTTACATTCTGTTTACAGTTTTTATTCCTAAAGCAGAAGTGAGGAGGGCTTGAGAGAAGGTCGTGTTATGGTTGTGCTGAGAACCTGAATCACGTCTGTTTGAAGTGTGCTCCTCTTGCAGAGGAACAAAGTCAGTGTCCCGGGTGATATTTCCATCACCTCTCCAATCTTTCCCTTCTTCAGTCATTCTGGTCTCTTCATGCAGTAGGTATCTTATTTTTAAAGATGTGGTTATTATTTGAGCATGAATAGTGTTTATATTCCCTTTCGTTTCTTGTTATTTTGTTTCTGCTTCCTAAGAAGTAGTTAGAGAAAATGAAAGTGCATCCTAGTTTTATATACTGTTTATTTGGTTACAGGAAGGAATTAAAAGAAGGGGTTGTCCTGCTGTTATAATTGTTTGTACCAAGTCCAAACCAGTTGTTGCAGCCTTCTTTTTTCCTGTTATTGCATTCCTTCCAAAATGTCCTCCTCTCACTTTGCTTTGGTGTTTGCAGTTTAAGCCAGGCAATCTCATTTAGATAAAATGCCATTTAAAAACATTCACACTAAAATTTTACATTCATGTTGATAAATTACTCAATTTTTCCAAAAAATTAAAAAGTCTCATTAAACAGTTGATCCATTCAATGTCTACATCAGTCATTGATCACTTTCCCAGAATAGTTATTAAAAAGCCTTAAGCTTTATAAAAACTTTTTCCCAGCAAATCAAAACTAGCCGTGCAATATTTAGTTATTCTTTTCCTATAGTGTTTTCTTACTAAAATAATGAAGGTTAATGTCAAACAGAAGTTAGCCCTATTTTCCTTTGCCAGGCTGAGCATTCATACTGTGCCAGATTCCACCATGGTTTTTAAGAAGCTTTTCTGGTTTTAGATTATTGGGCTGGATATGCTTACTATCTCAAATTTTGGGAGTATTTTCTTTAGTTTTTCTATTTAAATGCAGTGAAGCAGGAAATACAGTAATCTAGACTCAGCGTTTCTGTTAAATTTCATAGAATCTGAAAATATTTTAGATTAGAAAGGACCTCTGAAGGTTGTCTAGTTCAACACTCTGTTCCAAGGGACTTGTCCAATCCACCCTCACAGTAATAAATGAATAAAGTAGAAAGAAAATCCATCTGTCTAAGTGTAATTTCACCAATTCCAACTTGTGTTTGCCGTCTCTTGTCCCATTGCAGTGCACCTCCAAGGAGGGTCTAGCTCTGTCTTCTCTGTCCTCGATCAAGCAGTTGTAGACAGCAGTAAGCCTCCCCATTCTCCTCTCCAGTCTGAAAAAGGCCAGCTCTCCTGGCCTCTCTTTACATGTCATGTGCTTCTTGGTATGTCTAGCTCCTCTACTAGCTTGGTGGCCATCTGCTAGACTTGCTCTTTAAGACATTTCTTAGAAATTCATGAAAACAATTTTGTGAAGTATTTTTTTTTTCATTTGGGATATGTATATCCTTACAAGTTTGCTAGGAGAAACAATAAAATATTAAACAGCAATCTTAAATATATTGAGATTATTTTATGCAACTCTTCAGATGATGACTTAATTTATATTTGTTAGATTTATTTAAAATCAGACAATCAAGTTATATTAGAATTATTTTTTGTCTCTGCTACCCCTTTAGTAGTGCTGACACACATTTTCAGTGAAGAAGAATGGTAGTGGGGTACTATAACAACAGCTTTAATGACTGTCAGTATAAAAGGAAGAGTTTTCTTCCATCTTTCTCCAAATCATTTATTCATTTTATGATACAATAACTTTTGTTAAGGAAGCCTCCAGAAATGTTGTGTCTGGGGTTTTGTTTTGGCATGAGATACGTTCTTGCCTTTTAACTAATTCAGTCATCTGCTGAAATTAAAATTTTACGAAAATATTACTTTAAGGCAAAGACTAAGCATGAAAATTGAAACCTAAAGTTAATTTGGGGAAAAATCTCCACAGAATTATTTTGTTTGATTTATGAAGAAATATCTTCTCAATCCAAACTGCAGTGTACAGTACACAATTTTAAAGCATATAGTAATAAAAAAAAAAGCAAAAATCACTCAGTAATTTATTCACATTCTGTCATACACTGAGGGCCTACCTATGGAGAATTTCTAGGGAGAAGTCCTAACCTTACTGAAAAAAACCCAACAGTATGACCTTAGATAACTCAGAGTTTTCCTCCTGTTTTTAAAATGTAGTAATTTGTGTCTTAAGTCATGAGCATAAATTTAATTGTGTCAAAGAACATGCATATGTTTTTTCAGTTAGGTTATTCTGCAAAATGTATAGATGTACTACAGCACCAGATGATAACTGATTGTCATAGACAACCGGACATCTGGTGTTAATGCCGTTGTCTCGGTTTATAAAATAATGATCAGCTATTTTACAGGTAAATGATAAGGAAAGCAAAAAAAGTGCAATCTTAATAAAAATATAAAGACATATATACTATATTGTAATCTGCAGGGATTTTTCTAACTTAAAAATAGTGACTGTAATAAGTACAAACTGAACGAAATGGTGATTTTTGTACACAGTATGTCCCAAGTATAAGTGCAAAGTACTTAAATGCTGTTTGTTTTCTGTTAAATAAAGTAATCCAGGCTATTGGAAAAAATCCCTGAATAAGTGTAAGAAGTTGTTTAGGAGACTATGGGGGGGGAAAGAATGTATTATTTTACTACAGTATTGAGCTAATTACACAACAGTATTTTTTTATGTACATAAAAGGCAAACATGACACAGAGATAAATAGTTCTAGATCTAGTTAAGTGTTTCATATTAGAGTAATGTTTAAAGTTCAGTGATGAAGCAAAATACATATTTCTAAAACTATTTTAGGTATTTTTCACAGTTCCAGTTATTTACTAACACATACATAACATAAATGATCGGTAAAACACAGTCCTTAAGTTGTCTGGCAGTTTCTTAGATGTTCTTTCATTCAGTACTTTGGCCAAATCACTTTTATATCAGGTTGATGCTTTAGACTTTGTGTCTGGTTGAATAATATGAGCTTTAGCTGATCAAGGCTATTGCAATTCAGGAATTGTACTGAACTGATCCCTTCAGAACACTAGCACGTTTTGTGGGCTTGAAAATGAGACAAGTTGCAGATGTGGGTTTATATGCTCAGCAAATGAAGTCTTTCAAGACTATACAATACATAATTCACATAATGCAAAAGCATTTAGAAATCTGCTGGTCGAATCATCATAGTTGTGGCTTTGAGAGAGTATCCCGAGCCTTTCCAGTAGTACCACTTGATACCGTTGAACTTGTTGTTGTTCTGTCGTAATGGATAATACATTCCATTGAGGTTAGAAGGACCACATGCATCAAACCACCATCCTGCAAGACAGAAAATAAAAACATCAGCAGATGAAACTATCAGCACAGGTAATTTTCTTAATAGTATAAAAAGACACTTTGTTGTCCTGAAATTAAAAAAGAAATTTAAACCTAGGTTTTCATTCTTGTGATTTAGAAGTGTCAGTATAAAATAAGTGCCTCACACTCGGCAAGGAGATATATTTATGTATTCACTGTATATTCTTGAAGCTTATGTAATACATAGTAGTGTAACATTGAGAAGGGAAGGTCTTCAATCAAGTTTAATTTATTATCTAAATCAAACATTATTGTTGACAGTCTCAGGGCAGAACTTAACCTGAACTATAATGATACTGAGTCTTCTTTGGTTTTTATCTACTTTGGTAAATTGCTGTTCTTAACAGATTTAAACTTCTTTCTTAATTGTTTTTAGAGGTTTAATTCAGTTATTTGTTTCAGCTCTCTGTGCAGATCAATTAAAAAGCTCTGTGCTGAAACTTTGTAAGAAGGAAAAGGAGAAAAAAGCAGCCCAAAGTTATTTTGTATCCTTATGGCTGTGACCTGCTAGTGGGTCATAAGGCAAATTTATTTTTGTTAATAAGATAATATTTTTATGCTTCTGTTATGATGGCGATAATGTGTGTGTTCTGTTTTGCAGGGCAGTAATCCAGTTATCCTTTTGGATAAACAGAAGCTGTCTTTTGTCTTGCAACTTGTGCTATAGGGAAGAAAACCATTGCTTGAGAGATAACAGGAAGAGAAGTCAAATTTACAAAGCAGTTGTTTACATTTCAGAATGTGGAAGTCCAGATTGACAAATTATAGAATGGCTTGTGTGATTCAAGATAAAAGTACTAAAACTCAAGTAACTAGTGAACAATCATTAGAAAAATGTAGAGGTATCATATATGTGGTGTATCTCAAATTTATGTATTGTCATTTCATAATTATATTGAAATATGGAATTAAATACTTGTACCCTTCTGCAGCAAGTACACTGTACAGCAGATTTTGGGGTTTTCTTCTCCTCTGGATAGTTAGAGAATCAGTTTGTGCTGAAAGAATCAGGAGCTACTTCACTGACCAACTGAATCTCTAAAACAAGTGTTTTGGGGGAGTTAAGGTTTTTGATCTCTGGGCTTATTTTATCTCATTCCTTGGAAGAATCTGCTGTCACTCTTCTTAGTTCCACAATTACAGACTTTCTTGTACCCCAACTTGAGAGACTGGAGTCTTTCCTCCAGTTTTAACTTCTCTTGTTTTACTTTAACATTTGTCAAATGATAAAATATTTCATTTGAAGTCACCATAGTATCATTTCTATCTGTGAGTTTTGGACTTCTTCAGTAGTCAAAATTTACTGTCAAAATTATCACTATTTGTCTCATAGACAATTTCAGTGCCAATAAAAATAGGAAGACTGAGAAACAAAAAAATATTCCTACCTCCCGTTAGCATTTGTGAACATTTGCAAATACATTTGTCATTGTCTGCATCCTTTGTGCTAAAATCATTTCCTGGTTGGCTTATGCTACTTATTTTGCCCGCTGTCCCAGTAAGTCCTTTAAGGTAGATCCTGGAGAAGTGAGAAATGGAAAAACAATTATTATGTGGAAGTTAATGGTAGCTGATCTGCAAAATAATGATGGAATATTTTGCAATAAATATCCTGTTCAAATAGCTCAAGTTCTCTTTTGGCCAATGTACTGCTGTAAACTGTTTTGCAGCATAATGTTCTCATATGAGTGGAAATGGTCAGCACAATATTCTAATTAACAGCCTCCACATTTATAGAGATGACTGTTTTGTTCATGTCATATTAGAAGAAAATGAGAGCAGGTAGATTATAGTTCCTGGAATTTTTCATATAGATCATGCATTTCTTAATACTGTAAGTACACTGTGTACAATTATTTTTCTTTGAGTTCAAAAGTTTAAACCAAAATATTTTTTATTCTTATTTTGCTGTTAGCACAACATGGCAATGAGCATTACAACTTTGCATCTATGAGAGATAATTGCATTACCTGGACTACTTATTACCAATTAGTAACTGATATTTTAGGAGTTTCTCAATATTTCCCTTTTCACTTTCCTAATTGTTCTTCCTTTTCATATCCTTCATAGATGGTGTTAAATCATGAATCATAGAATCATTTAGGTTGGAAAAGACCCTGAAGGTCATTGAGTCCAACCGTAAATCTAACACTGCCAAGTCCACCACTAAACCATGTCCCTAAGCATCACATCTACGTGTCATTTAAATACCTCCAGGGATGGTGACTCCACCACTTCCCTGGGCAGCCTGTTCCAATGCCTGACAAACCTTTCGATGAAGAAGTTTTTACTAATATCCAATCTAAACCTCCCCTTTCACAACTTGAGGCTGTTCCCTCTCATCCTGTCTTGTGTTCCTTGGGAGAAGAGCCCAGCACCCACCTCACTGCACCCTCCTTTCAGGTAGCTGTAGAGAGTGATGAGGTCTCCTCTC